ATTTTTTTCAGTGCGAGATATTCAGAAATTGATTTCCAGAATGAAATACGTCGCGTTAGATAAATACGAAGAGATATGCAGAATCGTTTTTAGGTTAATCGAGGTCCTGTTGTTGTTCCTAAGTATACGATATGTCATGGTAGTTCTAATGTTACTTGGATACAAATCAAAGATTAACTTACGCATTTCTGAAAATTACAGAGTGATTACAATATAAGAGAAAATTAGCTTATATTAGAGTAATAACGGTACGTATTCGTCTGTGTACGTCGGACACAATTATAGTAACACGTTTCTCTTGCGCAATATATGTTTTTTTTATCGGCACTCGTAAATACATGGCGCACAACAAAGGAAAATCATCGAGATTAGATGCAATCGGGTAAAAACTATCGTTAATATTGTTACGTTGTGGTATCATGCAACACTAAGTGTCGCAAAATGGGGTTAGCGGTGCTAATAATTTTATATTAAGTGAGAAAATTTCAATTATTCAATGCCAGGAGAATTAATCGACAAGTAACAAGAATTTCGTAAACATGAACCGGAGTTAGGAATTTATCTTCCCCGAGTATCTTTACGCTCTGTAAAGCAAGACTATATTTGTGTTGATGTAACATTTATACCAGTTTCTATATACGTGACACAATCTGGCATTGAGTTATATTTTCATATTTCAAGGAAAAAAAGTATTAATTTTTTAATGAAACGCACAATAATTGATTAACGTTACTTAATGTTCATTAAGTATTAAATATCTTGATGTGGCGAACCGTAAAGTCGAGCATAATTAAACCGGATAAATTATGGCCTGGCGGTAAATCTTTCAGCCGTGTAATTATAGAATCGACGCTTTTACGCTTCGCTAGCAAACATGCGACATTACTCTCTTCGTCATCGAAGAGGCACAAAATGCATGGAAAAAGAAAAAGAATGCTACTATGTTTTTCTCATTGTAATTGAAAGAGGCTGAACGTCTCACGATCGACTTATTCTGCATTTTTCGTCTAAACTTTCTCTCAATTGCCTTAACTGGCTATCTAAGATATTTTATATGACAAATTATGTACGCGATATTTTATAATTATATTTCACTTTACACAATAATTCTGTGACTTTTCTATAAAATAATATATAGATATATAAACGTGCCACTTACAATGATAAGACTTGTCTTAAGCCTTTCTTACCGAAATAAGAAATGCTCGAACAGACTGGTTTAATCTTGCAAAACTTTTCTACAAAGAGATCGAACTTTATGATTGCTTAATTTGTTGTCCCTGGGTCCTTTAGATGGAATGAAATTTTTTACTCGATCGCTTTTTATTTAATTATCATAAATATGCATGTGTGAGACGCGTGTATTATTACAGGCAGAAAGTTATCGTTGCGCTTGAGGTCGCTATTATTATTGTCCTTATTGTTACTGCAGTTGTAACCATAACTGTTATTTCCGTGCACAATCTCGTGTGGCAACTAGTAATGATATTTTATTGCATAAATGGCGTTAAGTTATTATTTGCCACGAAGTTTCATTCTTCGCGGTTTACCAGACGGAGAGTCTCTTTTGCTGCATCGCGAAAATAAATCATGTTCTCTTCTCTGTCAACTTAAAATTCAGAAAAGATACCGTCAGGCATGCATATGTCAACGGACGCGTCAATGGTTTCTCCAGTAGCAAAAGTATGTGCACCAAGAGAGCAGTGAGTCGTATGTATTTTGCATAGAAGGGGGAGGAGAAAGCATCATGGAAATTATGAAACTGTCTAACCCTTCTTTTGCTAGCGACTTTTACCTAAAAAGTCATACTTATCGCATTAATGTATACATTTTAAATATCTTGGTATATATGTACACTAATAATATTCAAATGTAACGTATTAAAAATACAGTACCGGCCGAAAGTGTATCACCTTTAGGTTTTCTCAGCATAACTTTCGTCGAAGTGCACCGAATGTTCTCAACGTTTTACAGTAGACACCTGATAACAGATACATCTTGTACACGAAGGGTAATGAAATTTGACAAAGTACATCGTGATTTTCGAATTTTTCATTCGAGCGCTTTGAAATTAGTTGTGCTCAAAAAATCGAAAGGTGATATATTATTGGCCGGTACTGTACATTTAATATTAGAGTACCAAAGGCAAATAATTAGTTACTTGATTGTCAAAACGAAAAAAAATCGATGCTGAAAAACTCTAGAATTTTTATAATGTCACTTAATATTATGAATTTTTTATACTACAACTTTTATATTTGATCACGAATATATTTATTGAACTAAAATTTATAAATTTTATTTTTCTGTAAGCCTACTAGAGATAGAAAATCACAATAATTTATAAGCTTTACGTATACATTTTGTATTGATGAGCTTTTAATTACATTATTTATAGCACAAATGCGATACTTTGGATTGTTAAAATATATGGATGTACAATGACCGTTCTTATGCGTTTTTATACAAACAATCATCCTTTTTATGCAAACAGCAACGTGCGAATCATGCACTTTCTCTCTCTTTTGAGGCTACCGGCAATGAGTTCTCTCCGGCGCATTATAATCTTGTCCACGTCTTGATAAAGAATAAGTCTCGTAATAAGAAAAGTTATACAGAAAGTGAGGAACATTGTCCACGCACACTTGCAGCGTGGCTGCTTAAAACA